GGAGAGCTGGCTCTACTTTAAAGAAGCCTTATTGAGAGTGCAGCAACAAACCATCCCAATGTGCAAGAACACTAGCAAGTATGGCAGACCAGCTTGGCTTAGCAGGGAACTCTTCAGTAAACTAAATCACAAAAAAGGAAGCTTATAAGAAGTGGAAAATTGAACAAATAATTAGGGATGAATATAAGAGCATTGCTCAGACATGCAGGGATGAAGTCAGGAAGGCTAAAGTGCAATTGGAGTTGCAGCTAGCAAGGTATGTTAAGGGTATCTACAAGTATGTCAGTAGCAAGAGGAGGATCAGGGAAAGTGTGGGTCCTTTACTGAATGGTGGAGGCAACCTGGTGACAGGAGGCAGAAAAGGCTGAAGTGTTCAATGTTTTTTTGAGGGTTTTTTTTGTTTGTTTGTTTTTTGGGGGTTTTTTGGTGTTTTTTTGCCTAGATCTTCACAGGCAAGGTCAGCACTCAGACTACTGCACCGGGCAGCACAGTTTGGGGAGGAGCTTGGCAGCCCTCAGTGGTGAAAGAATAGCTTAGGGACTACTTAGAAAAGCTGGACATGTACAAGTCCATGGGGCTGGATGGGATGCACCCGAGGGTGCTGAGGGAGTTGGCTGATGTGATTGCGGAGCCACTGGCCATCGTCTTTGAAAACTCGTTCTGATCAGGGGAGGTCGTGGATGATTGGAAAGGGGGAAAACATAATGCTCATATTTAAGAAAGAGAAGGAGGCTCCAGGGAACTACTGATCAGTCAGCCTCACCTCAGTCCGTGGAAAAACCATGGATCAGATCCTCAAGAAATCAGTTTCTAAGCACTTGGAGGAGAAAGAAGCGATTAGGAACAGTCCGTATAGATTCACCAGGGCCATGTCATGCCTGACCAGCCTGATTGCCTTCTTTGATGAGATGACTGAGTCTGTGGATGTGGGGAGACTGGATGTGGTGTACCTTGATTTCTAGCAAGGCTTTTGATATGGTTTTCCACAACATTCTTGTACGCAAGCTAATGAAGTATGGGCTGGATAAATAGACTATGAGGTGGATAAAAAACTGGCTGGAGCGTCAGGCTCAGAGAGTAGTAATCAATGGCTCGATTTCTAGTTTGCAGCTGGTATTAAGAGGAGTGCCCCAGGGTTTAGTCCTGGGGCCAGTTTTGTTCAGTGTCTTCATCAGTGACCTGGAAGATGGCATAGAGTGCACCCTCAGCAAGTTTGCAGATGACACCAAGCTGTGGGGAGTAGCAGATAGATAGGCTGGAGGGTAGGGCTAGGATTCAGAGTGACTTAAATTGGAGGATTGCATCAAAAGGAATCTAATGAGGTTCAACAAAGACAAGTGCACAGTCCTGCACTTAAGGTGGAGCAGTCCCATCCACCAGTACATGCTGGGGGCTGACTGGCTGGGCAGCAGCTCTGCAGAAAGGGACCTAGGGGTTACAGTGGACAATAAGCTGAATATGAGCCAGCACTGTGCCTTAGTTACCAAGAAGGCTAACAACATACTGGGCTGCATTGGTAGTGGTGTTGCCAGTAGGTGCAGGGAAGTGATTGTTCCTCTCTATTCAGCACTGGTGAGGCCACGTTTGGAGTACTATGTTCAGTTTTGGGCCCCCACACTACAGAAAGGATGTGGACAAATTGTAGAGAGTCCAGTGGAGGGCAGCAAAAATGGTGAGGGGGCTGGGGAACAAGACTTACGAGGAAAGACTGAGGGACCTGGCCTTATTTAGTCTAGGGAAGGGAAGACTGAGAGGGGACTTAATTGCAGCCTTCAACTACCTGAAGGGAGGTTCAAAAGAGGGTGGAGCCAGGCTGTTCTCAGTGGTGGCAGATGACAGAATGAGGAGCAATGGTCTCAAGTCGCAGCAAAGGAAATTTGTGTTAGATATTAGGAAGAATTTTCTCACTAGGAGGGTAGTAAAACCCTGGAACAGTTTACCCAGAGAGGTTGTTAAATCTCCATCTTTGGAGGTTTTCAAGACCCGGCTAGACAAAGCCTTGGCTGGAATGATATAGTTGGGGATGGTCCTGCTTTGAGCAGGGGGTTGGACTAGATGACTTCCTGAGGTCCCTTCCAACCCTAATTTCTATCATTGATTTATTTTATTTAGTTCACCTCTGTTTACCTTGCTCCTCAAAATGATTGTCAAGCACAGCATTTTGTTTGACTTCAGACAAAATGTTTAGTTTTCAGTGGATTTTTATTTAAAAAATAATTGGGTAAACTTCATCTAGAAGTTGCACATGAGTTGGTTTATTTGGGAAACATTCAAACAAAACTATGATGCCTCCATTTTTTCTGCTCCCCCCCCCCCCCCCCATGGAAACTGCTTGTGAATTGGATTACCCAATGCATTTTCAGCAAATAAATTGTTTCACTTGAAACTTTCACTGAGCTCTGCCTCTGTCTGCTTTTGCGGTGAAGGTATTTTGCTGTTTCAGACAGAGGAAATAGGGTTTCTGAGCAAATACTGATACGTTAGAGCCCTGTAGATGGTTCCCATTTCTAACCTCCCCTATGAAAATGGGGCTTTGTGAACCTGCCAGGGGTATACAGAGGTACTGCAGGCAGCTGCCTGGTATGTCTGTGGTTCTCCATCTGCTTGTAGTGCCTTTTATTTCAAAAGATGCCACTTCTCCGATTTAGTTGCATGGCACTGCAGCTGTATGCCAGCTGCTTAGAGTAGTGCCCTTTGAGAAAAAAGGCTGCAGCACCCAGCTCTGAAGTTTATTCTCTATTTGGCAGCCTGTTTTTAACTAACTAGATTATGAATAATTTCTCTACAAAAAAATCTGGGTTTTACTGCACCAGGTAAATAGGAGCACTTGTCATTTTCAGGGCATCCTTCTAGGGCTTCCTTAGTGGCTGAGAGCAAAATGCTACTGGTTCTATGTAGTGATGAATACATACTCTGTCCCATCTGTAATATAGACAGTCTCATGTTTCTGGGGTAGTGGACTGCATTACCTATCCGTTAAAACATCCAGTCATGCCTTCCTATCTGTGCACTTCTTTTTCTTTTATTTTTTTTGCCATACATCAGTGATTTTCAGTGTGTTCTGTGATAGGTCATCAGGTGATCCACAGAGAGATTGGGGGTAATGGCAGATCAGACAGGGTGGCAATGCGCTGCCATCATGTGGCTGGATTATCTGGCTCCAAATGAGTTTTTAGGATAGGAGTTTGGGTTTCATGGCAAAACAAGTGATGTGAAAGGGTTCCATGACTTTAGGGAATTTGAAAACCACTGCTATAGATGAAGCATATTTGACATTTTTTAGTAGGCCCATGCTTAATTTCATTGGGTTTTCAGCTTTAGAAGTGGGGGTCTTTTTTCGCTATTAGTAATAAAGGATTGTGGTAGCTTGTAGCCAGTGGATTAGTAGTTTCTGACTTGTGACTGCAGTTTCTGTGGTTTTGAATCTTTTTAGAACTCCATTTTTAGAAAAATAGTGACTGTACAGCTTCAGACATATCTGGACATAATGGAATTTTTAGACTGTCTGAGACTTCAAGACAGTCCTGGTTAATGCAGTTGACAATCTCCTCCTGGCACTGAATGATAAAGAACCATCTTAATGGCACTCAGCTCTTTAAGCAACCTTTAATGCAGGTGTTGGTGATAGTGCTGGTCCCTAGAAGCAGATGGGATGTCTGTCTTGTCTCATGGATTTCGCCTTCCTGTAAGGGAAGAAAACAGAATAATTATGAACACTATCTAGTATCCAGTCAGAGGTCTTCCCTGTGTCTTTTTTCCCTGTTGCTGCTCAAAGTGTATGGGCTCCCAAGGAAGTTATTACCCACTCTACTGTGGCATCATTACTGTGGTTTCTTATCTCTGTCTTTCTAATTGGATCTTGATTATTGGACTGTAGAGGTGACATTTTTGCTGGAGAGTGTGGCACCTACCTGGTGCACATGATTTCAAGGGTGGTGACTGTGGGTAGTTTTTTATATGTGTGTATTGACTATTTCAAGTTCCCACTATTCATATATATATCCATATACTGGTGCTAGTGAGGCAGATGTACAGTGTGGGTTGATTCTGGCCTGTGTAGTCAAATGTAACCACTAATGTTAGTAGCTTATTTAGGAAATTCAGGTCAGTTATTCTGACCACAGTTTTTCTTCCCTCAATCTTGATCAAAGCTAGACTGCTGTAACACTGAATAGCCCTTCTTTTGAAAATAATAAATATATTTGTAACCAGATAGATGAGGTGGATATTTCTGTGGTCACCCCTTGGGAGATCAGAGAAAGAGTTTATTATATCTGCCTTTTGAAACTTGGTACCAATATGAGAGTACAGTTAAATATCATAGTTCTGAGATCCTTTTCATAAACCCTTTCCTAACTATTTGAGCACAAATGCCTCTGGCACTTGGGTTGGTTTTCTCTGTATTCTGGCTCCTTTACTTATGAACCCTCAACTGTGGAATTTGACTGCTGGCGTTTTTGCCCTGGAGTTCCCTTTTAGAACTATGTTTTGCAAGTTTCATTTATTTGTTCTCTTTTTTTTTTTTTTCTGGACTGTTTCTTGGCTCTTCTTGTGATTTATCTTGATCTACCTCTTCCCTTTTCCTGATTGCTGAGTATTATAGTTTTTATCCCTTTGGTGGTGGGAGCAGCTTGTTCAAGTGTAGGTAAATTGGCCCTTGTGCCAGGGTCAGGGCCTATGGTTTATCAGGATTAGTCCTCTTCCTTTAGACTTAATTCTTCATTTTCATTTTTGTATAGCATTCTAGATGCCAAAAGCAAGTACTTTTTTAGATGCTGATCACATATTATGTCTTACTTAAAAGTGTGTAACCTTGGGCAGCTAATACAGGTCATTTGAGCTGTGATGCATCATACAGTACTTCAGAGGCATCAACAAACAATACAGAGTTAAAATGATTGTATTGGATATTCTTCCTGAGTCTTTCTGCCTGTGCTAGTTTATATTTCAAGTACTTAAACTTTCAGTAATGTGCATTAGTCTGTCTTTTTGCTTTCTAGACAAACTATGAAAACAGAATATACAGTCTGAAAGTAGAGTGTGGACCTAAATATCCCGAAGCACCTCCAACAGTTAGATTTGTAACTAAAATTAATATGAATGGAATAAATAATTCCAATGGAATGGTAAGTTGAAATGGTAAGACCAACCGCACCTTCTTACTGTGCAGTTTTATTTTTAGTAGAAAATCTGATGAGGATATAGGTGTGTGGGAATGTGTCTTTGTATTTAAATCATTCATTATACAGATTATATTTCAGCACATTTTAATGCTTGCATGATATATACATTTTAGATTGGAGTTTTATTCCAAAGTAGCTTGTCAGTGAAGTCTAATGTTAATTACAATATTGGAACACATTTAAAAAAAAAAAAAAGAAAAAGAAACAGCTGCTACTTTTATACAAAATGACTTTGTGTCATTTTGCAGCCTGGGTGT